GTGAAGTGAGTGAGTTACTATTAGATGTTGAGCTTTAATTTTATAATGTGCCATTAATGAAAAAAAAAAGTGCTCTTTATGGAATAAACAATAAATGGTGCTATTTTTATAAATAATAGTTAAAAAAGGATCAAGCATGTAAAAAACTCTAGAATCTACTTTACATTTCAGATCCTCATTTTACAGCTCTACACATTTTCTCGAGCCACTTCTTTGATTGAATGAGAAGAAAAATAACCTCAGTTTTCAACGCAAAGAAAGAAAAGAACACAAGCCATATCTTTTTCCCGGCCTTATTTTTCCTTTCCCTTACCCTCTTCCAGAAAAAGGACTAGCCTAATGACAATATTACTATCTTTTCTCTGTCTCAGAAGTTTCTGTACATACACTTCAGAAGCTAAACTTACAACCAAAAAACATTGTTTCAATCAGAATAAAAGTCACAGATGTGAGCCTGTTTTCACATCTATGGCTTGGTAAAACAATCAGTTCTTTCGCAGCATTAGTAGGAAATTAAAAGCATTATGGGGATCATCTATCATACTATATTGAACAGCAAAAAAATATTCCCTTGTCCTCAGATTCACGCTCAAAGGTAGTACACAAAGCACGTAATGCGAATACATATTATGGCTATTCAGCAGCACAGATTAAATGCACACATATGGGCACTAACTAAATGCTATCAGTCTGCATATTCGATTTTGATACTGCTTCTCATCATTCAAATTATTAAAGCAAGAACCAACTTATATACCTCTGGAGAAAACAAACATAGCAAAAGGTCAAACAACATAATGAAAGCATATGTCTAACTGGCTCTCTGCCAAATTAAAGTTCACCATTAGTAACAGGAAGAGGAACCACTGCTGGCAACTCAAAGTAGTCGAAGTCATCTGTTATTCCCACCTGTCATAAGACAAGGAAAAGACCAATTACACAAGGTAGGGGAAGTTTGTTATTAAACAATGCATCTGCACTTAGATTGTTTCTTTCAATCTTGCATCTTTTTTTTTTTTTTTGGTGCTTTACTGGCGTTATTCTAATTTGTAAACATAACCCCTTCAACTTTGAAAATATGCACTTAACGTTTCAACTAGCGGAGGGAGTGAACTCTTTTCAACCAAAACTAACTATTCCTATGGACAAAGGCAATATTGCCTATCTTTAGTCAAGTTCAAAAACTGCAAACAAGAAATAGTGAAAGAACCAAAGAGAAAATCAGAGTGATTATAGGGGACTAGGATCAGGTGTAGGATCACAAGGGCTTGCAGGACAGATGGGATAGAAAGCTTTGAAGGCTATCAATGTATAACTAAGTACCTACTGGAACCCCTTTAAGTACAAAGAGTTGATCTAATTCAGTTTCCATTGTTTGAGATGCTTCATGGCGTTACATGGCATGCTCTGTATTTTAAAGTGGAGAGGAATCATAGTCGCAAAGTTGAATTGAAATATGGTTAAGTATCTTTAACTCTCTAACCTCATCTGATATATTCAATTGGTGCATGATCTAGCAGCAGTTCACAATCCTGTATAAACAAACTCATGGTTCTTACTATGGATTTTGCTTTGTACCTCATTGTATAGGTGATCAAGTTGCTCTTTTGCTTGGGGAAAGTTATTGGAACACCATTGTCTCAAAGTGAAGATGTTATCTGTATAGCAAATGCACATGATCATTAAGAAAGAGAGCCAATAATGGAAGTTACAAGGTAATAACTGGATGATGCATGAATAGCCAAACCTGTCCATCTATTAGCTGCTGAATGGGCAACTTCAATTGCCTTCTCTGTCAAAAAGAAACTCACAAGTCAGGAAACACCACATAATAAAGAACAGCACATTGGTGCGTGCACAATGAATGCTGAATAATTTAAACCATTGTCCAGTAAATACTATATTAAGCCTTAAAAGGATGCTCAATTACTCATTGCTTCAAGAGTAGCAGGATCATTGTCTGCATACTGCGCCAACTCTTCCTGAACAACAAAATCATCCAACTTCAGTTTTTTAGCATAAAAATGCTAACCCATATGCGGGTGTGGACGATTAATTTCGTAAGTCCAATAATATCAAAAAGTGTGCCTCAACCTTAAGTTCATTATGTTTCTGTTCAATAGCTTTCAGCTCATGCAAGGCCTCTTCTCGTGCATCCTAGTAATGCCACAGAAGTGAAAAGCAGAAACAGCCCATCAGCTCAACTCATCCTTACAAAATTATGTCAAGATTAACTTAGAGGACCATCTAGAAGTTGGTGTACTTACAGATTCTTCACGTCCCTTTTTCAAAGCCTTGCATTGTTCAACAAGTTCAGCATGCCGCTTTTCATTGGTCTGGAGATCAGTCTCAAGCTTTCTAGTTACATTTCTCAGCTGTTGAATGAGAACCAAGTATGAAGCAGCTGAAAATAAAGATGACAAGCATGTGCAAAAGATTAATCCAACCACTTACCTGGTTCCCAGCACAACTTGGCAGGCTCCAAAAGTATACCTGGAATTTCGCAAGTCAGTTAACATAATTGAGGCTGTTTGAAGAAAAAAAAACTTCTGGAGGGTAAAAGGGTGGTGCTGTTATAGCACATAAGACATAGATGAACAACTTTATGCTTAGTAGCAGAGTATTAGAAGAATGATGCTGTTTTAACACAATCCAGACATTACTCACAGAGGTCCCTATCTTGTCTTTAAACACAAGGTCGTCGTCCACCAAAGATTGGATGACATCTTTCACTGACTGGCTGATAACACCTTTCTTAGGACCCAACTTTTCAAGTTCCTTGAGCTGAAATAACAAAGGAGTTGAAAAATGTAATAATAATTAGATCATAACGCAGGGATAATTATACTATAAATAAATAAAGTGTGATTTGTCCTCCAGGCTCCAGCAGTAACTGGAAGATATATTTAACTTATTCTTGAAGGCAATAAGTGCACTGTTCACGAATCAGATGTCAGAAATAACAGGTTGAAATTAGATAACTAAACAGAGTTTGGTGGGTGAGGCAGGTTGAGACTCATTCTTGAATACATTAAACACAGATACCACAAGACGACCTGGTCTGTTCATTGAGGTAACTCCAGTATTATACAGGAAAGACAACTAAGAGAAGATGTGACCGTCGCTATATAACTATCTAACAAATTATCTTGTTCCGAAATATCACAGGCCACGTCAGACAGGAACCTTCAGCTATCCCAAAACTTTTGAGCTCTCCGGTAAAACATCTAAAAGATCCCTCTGCTAAGTTGGATAGCGTAAATGCTGCTAAAATTTTAACAAAGCCCTTAAAGTAGATACATTATCCATTATACTACTTTCCGTTAAGTAATGTCACTGTTCTAGATATTCATGCATATCATACTAAATTACAGATACCACCAATGGATTTTCAAATGCTTTTTCTCACCATGGCATGCTTATCACCCGCAGAAGAAGGGTGGTGCAAAGCATGATAGATACAGAATTAAAAGCCACACAATAGTTACAGAAATAATAGTGATGTTATATTTCTCCAGATATAGCGATTTCATGATATAACCGGTTTCTGAAAAGATCAGTAGTACAAATTGGGTAAAAAAACAAATACAACTTAGGAATTAGTCATTTCTCACAAGGATGTGTGTCCGAGGGACATGCGCCAATACTAAAACCACTAGTTGAATTAAATGGCATTGATCTCCATTGTAATTATGCATGCTCTTATAGCAAAAATAAAAAAGCTCCACTTCTTTTGGAACCCAAAATAACGACTAGTATACTTACGAGGAAGAAATCTTGTGAATCATAAAAGATCTGCAGCATTTTCTCTCGTTTCTCATCCAATGAAAGACCTCTTTTCTTCGACTGTTCACAAAAAAGAAATCAGGAGTTGGATACTGAAAATCACAGAACTCATATCCATCTGTGCTACATACTTCAATCAAAGTTGCTGTTATATAATTTAGAGTTCATAGCAGACTTCCAGAACTACAGGATTGCACTTGTATAGTTGTATGTTCCAATGCCAAAATATGACATCCATGGAAATTAGTGAAAGGGCATTAATATAATTTTTTAGCTATATACAGAGCAACATTGGCATAATAAAGTTCCTCAATGTGGAACATTTTTTCTCCTTTTTAGATAATTACTTGCAGAAACCACAACTATACTTTTGTCTGGGCCAACCCTAAGGACCAACCGCACCATTTGAAACTCGTGGATAATGGACCTGCCCCTCTACCCTTCTCCACTTAAATACCATGCCATGGGCTCAAACATGAAACCAAAGTCACAAGTCCCTCGACCTTTACCACTTGAACTGAGCCCCAGGGGCCACAGCTATACACATTTCAGTTAAGACAAGAGGAAAAAAACAGATTACATAAAAAATAAAGAAGAAATTAAAGAGGAGACAAATCCACACAGCCATCCAATAATTACGATTCAAAACATCAGGGGCCCGAGAAAGGTATTGAATTATAAGAGAACTAAGCCTCGTGTTATGAATCAGATCACAAAGAGAACAGACTAATTGAGGCTACAAAAGCACCTCCTTCACTGGATCTAAGGTGAAAGAATTGTAATACACACACACGCACATAGATACACACACATATTTGTATTCAGAAATGGTGTTAAACTGCAATGTGCAAAAAAGTTTAACAAAATATAATACATCTATTACTGAAAAAGATTCATCACAAAATCTGAAAATTTTGCAATGGAACCAATAAATCTCATTTCAGGATTCGGATATAGTGAAAAATTAGATTCAGTGATGTATTTACACTCATGCGAACTGCAAACACATAGCTATACATATTTCAATTAAGACGAAGAGCAAAAAAAGGATTACATAAAAGTTGAAGACTGGATAAAAAAGAAACAAGTCACGCAGCCACCTCACCAATTACAATTACAATTCAAAACATCAGCAGCACAAGACAGATTGAATTATAAGACAACTAGCCTCATCTTATATGGTTCAGATAATGAAGAAAGCAGACTAATTGAGGCAACTGAAGCACACTTCCCACACTGAATCTAATGCATCAAAACAAAGGTACAACCACATATGTGTGTGAATTAAAAAATGGTGTTAAACTGCCATGTTTACCTTAGTCGGAGCGCAAAAAAATAAAAAAAAATTGAGGATACAGAAGCACCTCCTACACTGAAACTAACACGAGAAAGTATATGTGTGTGTGTGTGTATATACACACCCCTAAATACAAACACATATTTGTGTATTCAAAATATGATGTTGAACTGCAATATTTACCTCAATCAGAGCGAAGAAAAAAAAGTGTACAAAAAAATTATATCAATTACCGTTCAGCAAATTATCTGAAAAACGTGATGGAACTGGTAAATCTCATTTAAGGATTTCGATACCGTGAGAATTAGATTCGGCAACGTATTTACACTTGTGCAAAGTCGCAAACACACACACCTATACATATTTCAGTTAAGACGAAGAGCAAAAAAAGGATTACATAACTTAATCCGATCGCGAAAAAGTTCTAACAAAATAAAATACATTTATTACCAAAAAAGTTCTGCCAGAACCAGAGAGTTTTATTTAGGATTTCGATAATGTGAAAATCAGATTCAGCAACGTATTTACACTCGCACAAAGCCGCAAATACAGACTAATTGAGGCTACAAAATCACTTCATAAACTGAATTTAACTCTGTGCGCGCGCGCACACACACATATATATTCATTTTATTATTTCGATACAGTGAAAATTAGATTCAGCAACGTATTTACGCTCGCGCAAAGCCGCAAACACAGACTAATTGAGGCCACAAAAGCACTTCCTTCACTGAATTTAATGCGTGAATTATTACCTATGAGAGCGTATTTAAAAATGATATTAAGCTGTGGTAATCACCTTAATCGGGGAACAAAATAATCAGAAAAAGTACATCTATTACAGAAATTTTCATTGTAGGATTTCGATAACGTGTATAACTGGATTCAGCTATAGTATTTACGCTAGAACAAAGCCGCAAACACAACAGATTGTACGAATATTGATAAGCTAGGGATTTGGGAATGTAGAAATGCTTACCATCTCAAATAAGCGATATCGGCGATTGGCTTTGTTTGCAGGAAGCTGAGCGGAGCTGATAGTTTGATATGAAACTGGGAAAGAAGCGTTTTGAAGAAGATTCCGGAAGATTTTGAAAAAATGCTTGATTATGGCGGGAATGTTCTGTGACCTCACTCCTCTACCGCTATATTTGGTAAATTGGTACTGGAGAAGTATTTATTTATAAAGACCCGGTTCTTTTGGTACTGTAATACTATTATCAAGTTTTTACATTCCTATTACACTTAGTATACCAAATTACCAATTCTATACCATAGTGTATTTTAACCTAAAAAACTAGCATCCTTACCTTGAGCAGTTTTTGTTAACATATTAAAATATGTCACCTAATTGAGCCCAGCTCATAAATTTTTTTATGATACAGATTGTTTGAAAATATGCATAAAATCATAATCACTTAAAACCAACGGCGAGTAAATTTTTGCACTTAACATGGTTTTAGGAATAAATGGCGAGCAACTTGTTGGTACTAGTCAAATTACACAAAGCGTGTGAAAAACTTTAATTTTGTCAGTTAACAAAAATTGAATTCAATTAAATTTTGCTATCTATCTAATACAGATTGTCAAGCATATTTGGATCGTGCAAATATGTTCAATTAAATTAACATGCATTCACGTACGCTAGCATTCAAATATATTCTGCATGTTGATACGAAAGCATAAATCTAACCTGCTAGTGTGTGGGATTGAGGTTGGATTATAGCTTGTAGCTTAATTGGTATTTTCGACATTGGTACAATTTCTCATTCAATTGTAGCTTAATTGGTATTTTCGATATAATTGAGTTATTTGCAGAAGATCTGTAGAAGTTTTAGTCGTTTTTTATTTGTGAAAACAGAAAACAAAGCATCTACAATCAGAATACAAATAATCTACAATTTATCTACAAAATATCTACAAACTGGGTACATTGAATTTTAATATCTCAATTCCCATTCAATTGTAGCTTAATTGGTATTTTCGACATAATTGCGTTTTTTGCAGAAGTTTTAGTCATTTTTGATTTGTGAAAACAGAAAATAAAGCATCTACAATTAGAATACAAATCATCTACAATTTATCTACAAAATATCTACAAACTAGGTACATTGAATTTTTATATCCCAATTCCCATTCAATTGTAGCATAATTGTGATTTTTGACAGAATTGCGTTTTTTCAGAAGATTTGTAGAAGTTTTAGCCGTTTTTTATTTGTGAAAACAGAAAATAAAGCATCTACAATCAAAATACAATTTATCTACAATTTTTGCAATATGTCTTCTTCGAGTTTCAATCTGAAATTCAGTCAAAACCAAGTATAATCTTCACCAAAACCCCTCAAAATTGAGATATAAACTCCAACCCATATTCCCGATTATTTTCAACAACACTCAATCCAAACAAATAATGATTTTTGAAAACCCAAATTTGAATTCAAAGCTTTCAAACTTTTTAATGGCTGTCAATGGTGGAATTGCTGCTCTCTTTTCATTTGCTTTGTATTACTGAAATTTGCGATTGAGAAATTTATGCTTTGTATTACTGAATTTAGTTCAAATCTTGCAGTGTAATCCAATACAACAATATTGAAGCAGTATTGAAGATGGATGTTTCTGCTTTATCTTTAGTAGGGTTCTGCGTCCACTTCCCTAAGTTTACATGTATGAAGCTAATTCACCTACCTAATGTCTTTCAAATGAATGTCTATAGTTGGATTCAAGAGCTTAGCCATTTGAAAGCATAAAGCTACAGTGATTCCTTATTTAATCCATTGTATATATTAGGTAGAAATACTATTAACATGAAGGGTAATAAGCAAACTATGAACATATTTGGTAATAAAGTTTCATATATGGTATAGGAAGGAAAACGTCTCTACTATTATTGGGTAATACTCAAATGGGATCTTTACACAAATAGCTACCCGAATTTACTATTTATTTTTTTCTAGCCACTATACATAGATTATAAGGTGTCAACTCGAGGAAGACCAAGAATCAGGTGGAGAGCCTTAACTAAGGATAAAGCCCAAGAGTTGGAGGGGCAGTTGTTTGCTATGGGAGCTTGGAATAGCAGTGGTGATGCGAGCACTATGTGGTCAGCAACAACAGACTGTATAAAGGAGGCTGCGAGAGAGGTGTTAGGGGTCTCGACGGGGGTCTCTGGTGGGCATAGAGGAAACTGGTGGTGGAAATAAGTGGTCCAAGGTAAAGTGGAAGCGAAGAAGGCGGCGTACCTGAAGTTAGTGGGGAGCATAGGTGAGGAGGAGAGGCGAGCGTGCATGGAGAGGTATAAGGTAGCTAGGAAGGAAGCTAAGCTGGTGGTTAGGGAGGCTAAGACTGCGGCGTATGGTCATATGTACGAGGAATTGGGGGAAAAGGTGAGGAGAAGAAGTTATTCCTGCTAGCCAAGTTGAGAGAGAGGAAGGCTCGGGATTGGATCAAGTGAGATGCATCAAGTACGAGGATGGTAGAGTATTGATGGAAGATGCCCAGATTAAGAGGAGATGGCAGACTTACTTTCAGAAACTCCTGAATGAAGAAAGGAATCGGTAAATTGTGCTAGGCGAATTGGAGCATTCCGAGAGTCACAGTAACTTTGGGTACTGCAGGCGTATCAAGGTTGAGGAGGTTGTGGGAGCTATGCGTAAGATGAGTAGGGGCAGAGCGATCGGGCCAGACGAGATTCCGGTGGAATTTTGAAGTGTATGGGGAGAGCAGGTTTAGAATGGTTGACTGGTTTTTTAATGTTATTTTAAGGCGAAGAGGATGCCGGATGAGTGGAGGTGGAGTACGGTAGTTCCATTGTATAAGAACAAAGGTGATATCCAGAGTTGTAACAATTATAGGAGTATCAAATTACTGAGTCGTACCATGAAAGTGTGGGAGAGGGTGGTTGAAGCGAGGGTGAGGATGATAGTGTCTGTATCCGATAACCAGTTCGGGTTCATGCCGGGTCATTCTACTACAGAAGCTATACACCTTGTTAGGCGGTTGGTGGAATTGTACAGAAAGAGGAAGAAGGATCTGCACATGGTGTTTATTGACCTAGAGAAAGCGTATGACAAGGTTCCTAGAGAAGTTTTCTGGAGATGCTTGGAGGCAAAAGGTGTGTCGGTTCCTTACATTATGGATATTAAGGACATGTATGCTAGGGCAAAGACTCGGGTTAAGACAGTAGGAGGCAACTCTGATCATCTTCCGGTTGTAATGGGATTACACCAAGGTTCTGCGCTCAGTCCTTTCTTGTTCGCCTTTGCGACGTTAACATACTATATTCAAAGGGAGGTGCCATGGTGCATGCTATTCGCCGATGACATAGTCCTGATTAATGAGTCGCGAGCCGGTGTTAACGAGAGGCTGGAGGTTTGAAGACAGGCTCTTGAGTCTAAGGCTTTCAAGCTGAGCAAGACGAAGACGGAATACCTGGAGTGTAAGTTCAGCGTTGAGCCGGGGGAAGTGGACGTGGATGTGAGGCTTGAATCACAGTTCATCCCAAGTAGAGGCAGCTTCAAGTACCTTGGGTCGGTTATCCAGGGGGAGGGGAGATCGACGAGGATGTCACATACCATATTGGGGTAGGACGGATGAAGTGGAGGTTAGCGTCTGGAGTCCCATGTGATAAGAAAGTACCACCGATACTCAAAGGTAAGTTCTATAAAGCGGTGATTAGACCGGCCATGATGTATGGGGCTGAGTGTTGGCCTGTAAAGAACTCATATATCTAGAAGATGAAAGTAGCAGAAATGAGGATGTTGAGGTGGATGTGAGGGCAATTAGGAATGATGATATTCAGGAGAAGGTGCACGTGGCTCCCATTGATGACAAGATGTGGCAAGCGAGGCTTGGATGGTATGGGCATGTTCAGAGGAGAAGCCCAGATGCGCCGGTAAGGAGATGTGAGCGGCTGGTTGGGGAGGGCACGAGAAGAAGTAGAGGGTGGCCTAAGAAGTATTGGGGAGAGGTGATCAGGCAGGATATGGCTAGGCTTTAGATTTTCGAGGACATGACACTTGATAAGAAGATGTGGAGGTCGAGTATTAGGGTTGTAGGTTAGGAGGTAGTTGAGTCTTTCCTTACTTCGTACCATTGTGAGACCGGTGGTAGGGTTTTTGTCTAAGATAGTTAGTGGCAATGTTGTGCCTTACTATTTCACTTTTCAGTGCAGGACTTATTTACTAGCTATCGCATTTGCTTTGCATCTTTCTTTTGGATTTCATGTTGTTCCCATTTTTCCTATGATTTACATGGTGATACTAATATTGTCTCCTTTTGTCTTTTTGTTTTCTTAAGCCGAGGGTCTTTCGGAAACAACTTCTCTACTCCTTCGGGGTAGGGGTAAGGTCTGTGTACACACTACCTTCCGCAGACCCCATTATGAGATTTTACTGGGTTGTTGTTGTTATACATAGATTATAAATTAATGCATATATATATATATATATATATATATATATATATATATATATATATATATATATATATATATATATATATATATATATATAAA